CGTACAGGCAAGCATAGGCAAGCCAATGCATGCCTGTGAGGGCCCAAGAAATCGCTCTCTGGACAGGAAGCAGCAGAAGTCTGCAAGACTAGGCCGCACGCCAGGCTCCGATTTTCTCAAACGCAACATGTCGCCATTGCCTAAGCTACCCCGCCATGTGGGCGTCGTGAAGTGGGGCCTGCCAGTCCTTACACTGCCAGCCGTGTAGGAACTTGATTCGGCACTCTAAAAAAGGAATGCCAATGCCCAAGCTCCTTTGGTCTAGAACATTAGCCTACCCGTTGGTCCTACTTCCCCCGCATCCGGCAAAGCTGCATGTCAGCTGTGGGCGTAGATCATTGAACACGTGCGCACCCTGCATTCAGCAGCTCAGCTGCGCCACACGGCCCATGTCTTGTGCACATTGGGATCTAGTTCCCAGGAAGCAAGCGACAAATCTTCGCAGCTCGTGCCAGAGGGTGTTGTTGCGTCATATCATGGCTTGCCGATGATTGTCTAATATTTACTGTGGCAGTCCTCAACTTCCCGACTTTCCTTATTATGTCTGCCACGGGACTTTTGATAAGACCCGTTGGCCCGTTGTGCTGATCGCAATGTGGTAGAGCATGAGCCGGGTTTGCCCGCATGGGGAGGATTTGAAGAGCGGAGTCCTTCATCCCCTTCCGGGAGCTTTGCTCAAAGCGACGTGCCCCGAGCAATGAAGTGATTCGCTGACGTGTCCGGTATGGCCAGCTCGGACAGGGTTCACAAACGAGCGCCGAAAACCTGTGCTTGGTTCGACTCACAGGGGAAAAAACGCCTGCACAGGCTTTACCCTAAAGCCTCTGACACTAGCTAGAACATTGCCAATGGTTATCGCCTTTCGCTGCTCAAACCATTTGCAGGTTCTGTGACTGTAGCACTCCTGGCCTCAAAAAACTGATGTACGTACTCGCTGAGCTGAAGGTGACAACCCTTGCTTGTTGAATCGAACAACTTCCTTTTAAGCCGCATCTGGCCTGAGTGCAGCTGCACTTTCCCTATCTCGTCGCAGCTTGCGCAGCAAGATGAAGACAGTGTCAAAACTAGAGGACGTGATGTGATCCTGAACAAGCAGCATGAAATGCTGCAAGAACAGTTTGAGAATTGGGGACTTACTTGCATTTCTGCCACGCCTCAAGCATGAAACATTCGACACATTGGGGCGCCAAACGATACCACAATGACATTTAGACAGTGTACACATCCCTTCGCTGCGTGGATTTTGGGCTTTCCGAGCTTTCCCGTTTCTGATTCCATGAGTGCCATGGCGGAATTGCAACAAGCGCACGAATCAGGCGCACGGCATTTAGCCCAAGCCTGACTTCCACAAAAACGCTCCCTTAAAACAAGAGCAAGTGCGGTGCACTGAATTGCCAAGGTGGACATCCTTGAGCACTACAGGTCACTTGCCCGTGCCCGTGCTTGCGCTGTCCTGAACTTTGGGCTCAACTGGCTTGTCATGGCCGCTTGGCGCCGGGTTGCGCGGCGGCCGCTCTCCTTGCACAATGCGCTCTGCAGCCAAGCGCTTCAGCTTCGACGAGCTGGCTGGCTCTATGCACAAGGCAGCCATGATCGTTACGCGACCCTCGGACTCCATCTTGGCACCTGTTCAGCCAAACTCAGCGGCATGCACCTCTGGCCCATGCTCACACCTCTCTCTCAATGAGGGCTTATCACACTTATCACTTCTGCCTCGGAACAAACTCTTCAACCGCCCTTCAGTCTCGGAACAAAACGCAAATGGGCCAAGTCCAAAAAGCCAAGCCCAGCCTGGGTAAGGGGCAACCAGGCAGAAACTCGAGCTATCACCAAAGCTGGTTAGACCAACATCAGCCCCTAATTGTTTGTTTGAGAAGAAATACCTGAAACAAAATGGCCACACCAGGGCTGTGGGGAATGACCACTTCTGTGATACAACAGAGAGGGCTTCCCAAAGACTATTTTGTTAATAGAAAGGGGGATTCCCTTGTATCACAGAAGTGGGGAGAAACCCCTTGATCCCACAACCCTGGGCCACACAGGGCGCCGGGTTGTACATAGAGGGGAGATGGCGGCGGTTAGTTGGGGGAGGGAAAATGCCTCTCCCCCCAAAACCCCAGCCATCCCCTTGCTAAATGCCCGGACAACAAGGAATGGAATTTGCATGTAGCCCGCTTGGCACTTCAAGCCACCAGTCACTGATTGAAAGGTAGGAAAGCGCAGTAAAACCTGCAAGGGCCCAGAACAGAACGTCCGGATTCGCCACCCATGGCACCAAATGTAGACATGCGCTACTGCGCTTTCAAACACGCTGGGGTCGTGCCTGCAAATTAACATGGAACCTATACAAGGAGTCCCCCCAAAGGAATCTCTGGCAAATGTGTTGGGCTTCCAGGTGAAACTGCAGGTGGCCTTGCCCCCAACGCATGAACATCCGACAGCAAGCCTCACTGCAGTGAGGCTGCCACGCTGCCAGGCCCAACAGCGCACGCGAGCAATCCATTGGCGCGGCTCCCTTCGAACCGAAAAGTCGCGGCTTTCCGCGGGTGTCCTTGGGCAACCCGCAGAGAATCCAATTTGTTGGTTACTCTCGACCAACAACTTGCTGGCGCAAGTGATTCAAATGTATCAAGATGTCCGGAGAACAAAAAGAGTGGTCCTAGCCACATCAGCCAGGAGTCAAAATTATGGCTTCATCATCTTGCTTTTGTGTAAGGCTGTGCCATGCAACAATAAAGCGTGTTCTAACTTGCGGTATCCATTAATGCTGCATTGCCTTCCGTCTGGGCACTCTCTTAAACGTCAACTTGCCTGTCTTATTCAGCTTCGCGTAGTACTAAACAGGAACGGAATAACTCAGAGAGCAGGTCCAAGAGTAGCCCCCAATACTAAACATGAGCGCCCCAGACCCCTTGACTGAGGTCTTGTCAAACCAGGTGCTGGAGCCACCCACTGAAAATGGTCACTTGGAGTTTGGGCGCACACTGCGCAATAGTAGCCAGGAAGCATTGCTGGTCACGAGGCGGCAAACATCATCAAACATCATACCCATAACGAGAAACCAGCAACAATACCAAGAACCGCATTGTGCGTTTCATTGAAAGAAACGGGCGGGTTCAGAACCCATTCAGGTACGCTGCTGCAGTGGCCTAACCTTCGCTGAGTGGTGGAAAGACCTACCAAATTGGCAAATCGCCAGTTTTTGGCGCTCAAGTTAGATGGCACTAGAGGCTTTTCTGCTCTGAAAATCGCCTGCCAGCGCTCCTGCCAGTACCTCGGTCCAGGTACGAAGATCTCACTGTGGCTGTCAAAACGCAGTGGCCAATCATTCATTCCTACACCTCCAAAAGATCCTTGCGGGTTGCTTTAGCCCAATCCGACCACAAGCGCGCCAATCACGCGGAGGGGCTCCATCTGAACCCGCTGCGCTGCAGGCGGGGAGAGCTGCTGCAACAAGAGCGACAAAGACTCGGGCGTGAGCTGCTCTGGCGCAGGAATGGTCCTGAGCCGACGAGGCTGGGTGGCATGGTTTCCCAAACATCGTCGACTTCTTATTTTGCAGCTCCTGGCTGCGATTCTTACAGCAAGGAACTATGTAGGTACACGCGCCATGGACACCCCAAAGCCTAAGGCCACCCAAGCTTTCCAGCTGATTGTTAGCTCCCTGTGCTTGGTTGGTAAGTAATGACCCTCTGCCAATCTGAAAAACCTGGTGGTTGAGTCAGCAAGAACTAAGCACAGAATCAACCAGACTCACGTGGGGGTGGGGGTGGGGGGTGGAGGTGGGGGTGGGGGTGGGGGGCCGGCAACGTGCGCAAGTCAATCAAACTATCTAGATACCACGGGCCCACCAGAAACTATCCCGGCAAGCGACCGCAAACAGCGATCAACATGATTAGAACATTGCGAGACAGGAATCCGCGCAGGTAACATGAAGTGGACGCAGCAGATCCCCACTTGGTTGAGGGAGGGTTAGGTAGGCTTAGGGTGGCTGAAGTGTAGGTTTGGATGGGCTCATCAGGGCAATTTTAGGGTATGTCTAGGGTCAGGGTAGGTCGTTTTGGGTTCAGGAAAGTAGCTGCGAGACTGACGTGATCCATGCCCTTTGCCCTCTTCCTGTACATTGACCCGGCCTGTCTCTCATGAATACCATAATAAAGTCAAGCCACTGCAAACCGGCACTCCTGGGCTGCAATTTTGCTGCCCTGCAAAACGCGGGCTCAACTAGGCGAACCAAGGCGCAAAGCCAATCTCATGGGCCAAGACTCGAGTAGAGGCGCTGGTCAAAGAGCGGATCCTCCACAACCAGAGGAGCTGTGCCAACCTCGGCGCGCCAACGGGTTGCAACTCCGGGCCTGTGACTTACAAGCACACACTCTGCAGGGCATGACAAATCCGCATGATCAAGTGCTATCTGACCACATTGCAATGGACGGGCCACAAAGCATTGACAGATCGGCTGGTTCCTTTCGAGCCACAGCCAGCGCTTGCCAGGTGCGGTAGCAGTCGTGCCCTGAGGCGCCCCAATGCAATCAACAAATGCCCGTTGGGTGCTTCTCAAAAAACGGCTCAAGAAGTGTGTGTGTGTGTGTGTTTTCCTTTTGGTTTCCTGTGCTACCCAAAAACGGGGTCCCCCACGTTGAGAAACACCCGCTGAGCCCACCAAAGATTGCAGAAGCATAAGGCCAGAGACAGCACTTCAATCGGCACATGACGGATGTGAAAGGGGAGGGAGGGAGGGGAGGGGAGGGGAGGGGAGGGAAGAGGAGGGCACCGGTAACTTGATGCAATTTGTCCTGGTACTCCACTGCTTCTTTGTACGTGTCGTTGTTTTAGGGTTCCGTTTTGGAGACAACAACTTGGTTGCTGTTGACCCTCCCGCAAAAAGTTCAACTTTTTTGGGGAAACCCCCTTGATTTCAGAAAAGTTAAAGTCTAAAGATCCAGCCCAATAGCAGTCAACACAAAAATCCCATTTCCCTCCGCGCCAAACCGGGGACA